TCATAACAGACTGATCAATAGCCTAACTTAAAAGAGTTCTTAACTTTTTTGAGCTGTCATTCTTTTCTTTTCTTTTCTGCGCGTTTGATTCTTACATGTCTTTCTGGGAACAGGTGCTGTTTATTTTATATATTATTAATGATTTTGTGTGTAGTTTAAACATCCCAAATCAAGTGTATATTTTTTTATGAATAAATATTTTAAATATTTCTTCATAGTAAATAATATAATTGAATAACAACTCAAGGAATGCAGTGCACATTTTTATTTCGAGTCATTCTTAAATGATAGTCTGGGATTTATGGAATGGGATTCTCAAAATTGCTGAAGGGTACCAAGACTCTTAAAATGTACTCTAAGCTGGGAATCCCACTTTCATAAGTATTTGGTAAAATCTCAACCTATATAGAATATCATTGAATTGTCAGAAAAGAAGTATGGAATGGGATTCTCAAAATTGCTGAAGGGTACCAAGACTCTTAAAATGTACTCTAAGCTGGGAATCCCACTTTCATAAGTATTTGGTAAAATCTCAACCTATATAGAATATCATTGAATTGTCAGAAAAGAAGATCATTGGGGTTTGATGTACTTGCATATAATGATTTTCTTGCATAGAACTGTACAGTCATTGGATGAAGGAGTTGTGCTGTTAAACATCTTTCACACAGTATATCAAAAAAAAAATTCTTAAACATGTGGAGTGTCATATGAGTTGTAAACTAGCTCAGGTATATAAAAATGTTTATATGGTTATACCAGACACAGGTACTGAAACATGAAGACCCCCAAGGATGTGACGAGCACCACCTCCCTTGGAAGCCCATTCCAGATCCTGGCAACCCTGACCGTGAAGAACTTTTTTCTAATGTCCAGTCTAAGCCTACTCTCCAGTAGCTTATGGCCATTGTTCCTTGTTGTTTTAGGGGGTGCCCTGGTAAACAGATCATTGCCTACTTCATGTTGCTTTCCCCTTATGAATTTGTACGCTGCCACAAGTTCCCCTCTCAGCCTTCTCTTGGTGAGGCTGAAGAGGCTAAGGTCCCTTAGCCTTTCCTCATAGGGCCTTCCCTGCAGGCCTCCAGTCAGATGAGTGGCTCTTCTTTGGATCCTCTCCAGGTTGTCTTCATCCTGCTTGAACTGCGGCATCCAGAACTGGACACAGTACTCCAGCTGCGGCCTGATCAGTGCTGCATAGAGAGGGAGAATCACCTCCCTGGACCTGTTTGTGAAGCACCTACAGATGCACAACAAGGTGTGATTGGCTCTGCCAACTACTTCATCACATTGATGACTTGTGTTTATCCTGGAGGCAACAGTGACTCCGAGATCTTACTGCCTCAGTGGTGCTGAGAAGGCCATCCCCCAGCCTATAGGTATGATAGCAGTTCTTTCTCCCTAGTTGCAGTACCTTGCATTTGTTCTTATTGAATTGCATCCTGTTGCTCTCTGCCTACTTTCCCAACCTGTGTAGGTCAGCCTGGATCTGGTTCCTCCTCTCCAGGGTGTTAGCTTAACCCCATATTTTTGTGTCATCTGCAAATTTGAACAGGATGCTTCCCACCCCCTCATCCAGATCTGATGAAGATGTTGAACAGCACTGGCCCCAGAACTGATCCTTGAGGGACTCCACTGCACACATCTTTCCAGGATGACCCATCCACCACCACTCTCTGAGTGCGACCCTTGAGCCAGTTTGCTACCCAGTCAACAGTATCATCCAAGGCAAATCATCCAAGGCAAATCTCCTCAGTTTATTAATAAGGATAGTATGGGATACTATGTGAAAGGCCTTCTTGAAGTCCAGATAGATAACATCCACCTCAACTGCTGCATCTAAATATTTGGTGGCCTGTCATAAAAAGAAACCAGGTTAGTCAGGCAGGACCTGCCTGCTATAAACCTATGTTGGTTACCCCTCTGCATCACATTAGCCAGCAGACTCCCACAGATGTGTTCCTTGATAATTTTTTCAAGGATTTTCCCGGGGTAGAGGTAAGGCTGACTGGTCTATAGTTCCCCAGATCCTCCTTCCTCCCCTTCTTAAAGATTGGGATGACATTGACCCTCTTCCAATCTTCCCCTTGGAATCCTTGAGGAATGACCACCCATCCTGGACCCCCAAAGCATCTAGGCTCTTGATTCCTAGTACCCTGCTGACCAATCCCCTCATCCTATTAAAGTCAGCCTTTTTAAAGTTTAGCACCTGTGTCCTGCTAGGTATAGTGCCTGCCCTTCTCTGGATAGTGAATTTTATCATTTGGTGATCACTGTCCCCTAAGTTGCCTTGAATCTGCAGGTCCCCCACCAGGTCATCCCCTGTGGTCAACACTAAGTTGAGCAAGGCGAAAGCCCTGGTGGGGTTCCTTACCTTCTGTGTTAGGTGGAGGTCCTGAACACAGGTTAAGAACCTGCTTAAGTGGTTAGATTTAGCTTACTGTTCCTCCCAGCATATGTCTGGGGAGTTAAGGTCCCCCATGACTACTGTGTCTCTAGACCACACAGCCTCTGAGAGCTGCCTGGAGTTCTGTGTGTCAGAGCTCTTTACAAAGGAAGTCAGTATAGCTTTGTCCCATTTTTAAAGATGTATTTTTTTATTTTATTTTTTTTATTATTTTTCCCTAGATAGGGGAACAGAGGTATAGAAGAGGTGAATGTTTTTCCTGAATGCCAGTCATCAGATAAGTAGTAGAATCAGAACCAGAGGCCAGCCTTCCAGAGACCTAGCCTAGTTCTGAGTCCACTGGATCACACTAGAACACAGAGATATAAATTAAGGCTGTGTGAAATTGCATCGAATTTCATTACAATGCTGTTTCAATGCATTTTGAGCTCAAAACAGTAAAATAAAAATGAAACAGAGGGCTTCAAAACAGCCTCAAAATGAAAGAAAGCCATCTGAAACATTTCAAAAGGTTTGAAGTGTTTTGCGTTCTGAAGCAGCAGCTGGGTGGTGGGAGACAGGGGAGAGCCAGGGCTGCACTCCACAGCCCCATGTGGCTCAGCTTGGTGGGGAGCCCTGGACTCTCCCCACCTCCTGCCACTGGGCTGTGCTCCCATG